CAACAAACATGTTCAGAAACAACGTCAACAACAGAGCGAATCAATTGAATCCAAACAATGCACAGTATTGGAAATCTCGAGGATATTCCGAAAGACCGAAGGACAGTAGCACATTTAGTAACATAGTTGTTACGATAATTGGTTTTGCACTGTTCTATATTGCAATCTACGGTTGGGAGCAGACCGTGGAAAATGTATACGATTTATTCGATGTTCAGACAAAAGAAGCTTAGTTTTAAGTGGAGAAGGTATTTTCTGTGCTTTTTATTATTATATGTAAAAATCGATGGAATTCCTTTGTCTTCAGCATAGAAGAGAAGAGTTTTGTTCATTACATGATATTAAGATTATTGGTAAATTTAATATCCAATGATATAATATCCAAAAATTACTTATTTTATGTTACTTTTAGTTATTTTCTGTGACTATTGCACTAAATATTATTATTTATTTGTAAAACCAGTAACAATAAACATTTCTTCTCATTTGTTCCTTATATAAATCCCAATATTAATCAATATTTACACAAATGACTCTAATTATTAAATTAAGGGTTTTCTTTTTTTTAATTCTAATTACATATATTTGTATCATATTATTTTATGTTTATAGAGAAAATACATATTACATATTTTCTTATTAATCAATTGATTTCAAAAGTGTTTTATTCAAGTTTGTAACTTTACCTTTCAATTCAATGATTTTGAAAATGGTGTTTTGCATCCTTTTTAAAATTAATATAATCCGATTAGAGACAAATCCTTCAAATTGGATTATCTAACTTATGGTCACTTAATGGTGAGTTGGTTGCCTATAATAATTCCTTATGTGGTAATAACTCGTAGTTAAATTTTATTGAAAATGTTTCCATTAATGATGTTCAAATACATTTAATCAGGGAGGAAATATAATGAGTGATAACACCGAGTTTTAGCGATAACGATTGAAAACCATTGGATTCGAGTGAACAGACACATTCATATTTCGTTTTAGCAATTGGCAGCGCGTTTCTTTACCCCGACGTGGCTATAAGGATATTGGAATCGAGGTTTTGTTGCATCAGTTGCATTCTCTGGGCGTATCAAGGCGTACTCCATCATACTTTATTTATGGTCTAGTTCGGGTTGGTTCAGTGCTGCTGTTGTTAAATTCGTGATTACGTGCAACGACTTTTGTTCAACAAACATGTCGAAGATGTGGAACATGAAAAATATTCCAGGTTGGACATCTCAAAAATTTTCTTCTGCACAACAATTTGTCTCAACTAAAATGCCCAACATCAACTACAGCAAAGCAAAAGAATTGAATCCTAACAGTATTGTAAATTGGACAACTCAAGGATTTTCTTCTGCACAACAATTTGTCTCATCTAAAATGCCCAACATCAACTACAGCAAAGCAAAAGAATTAATCCTAACAATATTGTAGATTGGACAACTCAAGGATTTTCTTCTGCACAACAATTTGTGTCAACAAACATGCCCAATATTGATTACAACAATGTAAAGCAATTGTGTCCTATCATTACTGCATATTTCACATCTCAAGGATTTTCATCTGTACAGCAATTTTTCTCAAGAAACATGCCCAACTTGGACGACAACAGAGCCAATCAATTGAATCCTAACAATATTGCATATTGGGCATCTCGAGGATTCTCTTCTGTGCAACAATTTGTCTCAACAAATATCGCTAACATCAACGACAACAACAGAGCAAATCAATTGAATCCTAACAATAATGCTTATTGGACATCTAGAGGATTTTCTGAAAGACCTGAAAATTGGGACACCAGTATCAGCAGCAATAACATCTTGAATAGCACCATGAGTGGCATAGGTAGTCTAATACTTGTTAATTCAGTTAATGCTACACTTTGCTACTTCGGCATGACCAATTTGGAGCCGGCCGTGAGAATTGTGTTCTATGTCGGCGCACAGTTATATTCGTGAAATCTCCATTAATTTCGGCAACTAATCTCTATTTTTCTATTATATTATTTTGTAATTATGCATTTATCCACTGATTATATTTTTTTGTAGAATTATTGATAATACAAATAAAATTTTAGCAGTCTCCTTTTGTTTTTTATTAAAATTTGAGAATTCCTGCAACCTAATTTTTATAATTTAATTTGCATATACGTGGTGTTAAATTGGTTGCCTATAATAATTCATTACAGGCTTGTGAAATTGTGCAAGGTGCGTAAGCTAAGTGATGCTTGAAGGGGAAAAGGAAAGAAGAGATAATTTTGTAACTGATGTAAAATGTGTAATTTAGTAACTGATGGAATGGAGGCATTCGATTCAAATTCAGACTGGTGAACTGGAAGGCCACAGTAGCTGATGTAGATCACTAGCTCTGAGATTGCAGAAGGATTAGTTTACTAAGTTTATTAACTATTGTTAGTGGTTATTTGTAATAATGGCTTCTCCAAACGGGAGTAGTCCTGACGGTTCGACATACATTTGTAATCAAGAAATAAGTAAACACAAGTGCATGTATTATTAACGAGTTCGATGGACGAAACGAGTCAATTTCGTATCCAGTTTATGAGCAGGAAACTGGGTTTTTGGGTCGAATTTTGGGCCGGAAAAAGGTGATCTTACTTAAGAATAAAAAAACTTCATCTTGCAATGCAACAAAATTGCATTTTTTATTTAATTTCGTATTGAATTGTAAAAACTATTGTAAACATATAATATCCAATAAATTATTATTTGAAATATAAAAAATTTCTGAATAACCAAATCACTTTTCAGTATATCTTTTTTAAAAGTAAAAATTCCGAAAACTTTACATAATTAAACAACTAATGCACAGGTAAACTCTTAATTTTAAACTTATTTAATCATGTAAAGAAAAAAAATCCAATATTTCATAAAAATATTTAGATTTAATTGAATTATTTTGCTCTAGTTTTTTTTTGTGGTAGATTTGAATAAAAATTCTAAAAAAAGAACTAATTTGCAAAATATATTATTACTGAAATATTACTTAATTAAGAAGATTATTTGTTTTAAACTATTTTTTTAAAAGTAAAGTGGATTTCTTAAAGAAAGTTATAAAATGCAATAAAACTAATTATAAAATTATGTATGCAAGTATTACTTTAATTTTTATTGAAGAAAATTTCATTTGTATTGGCAAAAGTTTTATTATGCACAGTGAAAGTACGCATTTTCGTAATTCGTTTGTACGTTTTAACAACTGTTTGAAAGTTGCAATTATCTGAATAAATATGCAAATATAATTGTTTCTTCACAACAACAATAAAAAATGTAATAAAAACTTTTATAATCACAATCCGGACTATTTGAAACCGGACTAATCGAGGATTTTAAAACTGCACATTATTAATAATAAATCGATTATTTATGTATACAAAAAGGTATTTTTTTGTACCAATTGTCAATTAAATTTGTTGTTTATATTGAGAGATTTTCAAAGTGAATTCGGACTGAACGAAGCCGATTTTTAATTGGTTTACATAAAAATTAGTAATTAAAAAAATATATGCAAATATTGAGATTTTGAGAAAAGAAGAGTTTTTAATATAAATATAGTTTACTTTATAGAAATTAAATGACATTTTCAAGAAAATCTATGAAAATGCAGA